ATCCGCCGTTTGTTTTGCGCAGTTAGCATTGCAAGTTGTCGGGGGAATTTGGTTTGAGAACGACTTAATTGAATCACTCAAATGACGTGAGTCTTAAACGAATGCGTCGCAGAACGCCACACAGAAGCAGCTAGACTGCGATCAGCTGATGATGCAGGGAACTAGGCAACGGAGGGCACACGGTAGACGATCGATTGAAAATGGCGGCATCCAAGTTTTATAATTTGCGATTCAAACTTCCAACTGCAGAACTGCTTTTTGAACACTTGGAACACTTCTTGGCCGATGTAGCACAGCTTAACCGATGAAAAACTACTTAGCCGATGCACTGCATTGCCGAACCACAGCCTTACCGATGTTCACGCTGCACACACATACACACATACTTAAACATTAAACGCGTCGCACGCTGTCATTTATTATAATAAAAGCAGGTAATAAATTAATTAAATGATACGCAAAATATTAGTATTGGGTGGTGTTGGGCAAGCATCTGCAAAAGGTGTCGAAATATCTAAGTAAAGGGAAAATTTCGAAAGCGCTGTGCAAAACGAACACACAGGCACACAGAGCCCAAGTACGTGTGCATATGTGTGCATACGTGTGTGCAGTAAAGTACAATACAGTAAAATCGTCAGCAGCAGCTTGGGTAACACTTTTTCTGCGCCGCCGGCTGTGGAGCAGGGGGTTGACTGACCCCTTGCGCCGCATGTCTGGTCCCAGGTTCGATTCCTGGTGTAGGCTGCGTAGATTGAAGTAAAAAGTTAGTTGGTGTATATAAGGTTGGCCTGGCCGTTCTATGGCGCTATGGTTTCCATGGCATGGCGTCATTTGGAGCTGGATGTTGGCACTGGTCCGGCTATGGCTTTTTGGCTTTTTGGCTGTTTGAGTATGCGATCCACTAGAAAATGGAACTTGAATTTGTATGTGGTGGCGGAGAAAAAAATTATAAAATTGTAATATTTTTTTTTTTGTCTATTTCAAGAGCTATGCCAACAATTAATGTTACACTTTTCAGTATAGTTTCCGCAGTTTCAAGAAAATTTTGCAATTTGCAACTAAATATTTATTGGCCCTCCCTATTGGCCCTATTTAAAGCTATGTCCATTTATCCATCCATCTCGGTTAATATTTAAATCCTTTATTGGAATAAGTCTCCTGCCCCTGCAATTTCGTATTCAGTAGATCGCTTTCCAAAAAATGAATAGGCATTGAACAATTGGGAGGCAAACAAACAAACTGTTCGTTTATTATATACTTAAGCTGATTTTTATTACGCATATACTGAAACACGTGTAGATGTACATTTTCGCAGAAAGGATTCGAGCGACTGGAGTGCAGGGAAGAAGAAGGGCCGGGCTGGGCCGGGCCGGGCCTCCTCCTCCATTGTTGTGGGCTGTCGCTTGTGTTGTCTGAAATTTCATTTCGGTTTACGTGAAAAGCCCGCCTTGCCCCTGCCCCTGACCAGCCCTGCCGCAGAGCACAGCACGAAGCATGCATATCGAATTCGCTTTCTTTTCTTACTTTCCTTTTTTTAGGGTTACATTTAGGGTTTGATGGGGATGGGAATGGGAATGGGATTGGGGATGGGGGCCACCCACATTGTCACTTTTGTGTGGGTTCTGCGTGCGGTTGATTGATGGATTCGCTTGTTTACCCGTCAAGCCACAACAAGAATGTGGAATGGCGGAGTGGCGTTAGCCGCCCCACACACGACGAGATTTCGAAATAAGCAATAGTCATCAGTAATCGTGATATATCATATCGTATCCGTGCGGATACAAGCGGTAGAAGCAGGAGCAGGACGCACGGGCATGATATGGGTATTTTTTTTTTATATATATATTTTTTTTTTGCACTCAAAAGTTTCTCAAAACGATTTTGCTTCGATTTTACTTTTACTTGATTCAACTCAACTTTATTTCTCTCGTTTTGCGCTCTTTTATTTTCTGACAGCTGCCGTGGGGCATTCATGGAATAAATTTTAAAGTCATCATCGTCTAGAGTGTGTGTGTGTGTGTGTGTGTCTCTCAAAGAACATAACAGTATCAGCAGGGACATATGTACATGCATAAATCATAGTCAATCATTGGCCCAGGAGCCAAACACTCGGGGCCAGGCAATTGGCGACAAGACAAAACGCTTCCTGATGGGGTTAAATTTGAGAAGATGAAAATACGAGTATGCATAAATAATGCTTAAAGAAGCGAGTGACAGGGGAATGGGGGGAACGATAAATGTTACTCCAAAAATAGGGAGAGCATATCGAAGCTGATAGATCAGTCAGTATACCAGCACCCGCCCCTTAAGTTGAAAGCAAAATATTGAGATTTTCTATTCGAATCAGAAAAAATTGTGGTTTCGATGCCAAATATGAAGCAACATTCCACCCACTTGATTCAACTAATTTCTGTATACATTTTTATACCATTTCTATGTTCCTTAAATATATGAAATTTGCCCATTGAAATGTATTAAAGTTCCAGCAAAAGGCAGCAAGAAAAAAAACTCTTCTGCCATGCAGAATTATTTCGCATACAAAAAAAAAATGTTGAATAATTTTTTGTCCCGGACACATTTCACATTCCACATGCCAAGATGATCTAATAAACTTGCTTGAATGTCTGCAAAATCCCATTTGAAGTGGCTTCAGAATCTCCCAACCAACGTCTCCCATTCCTCTCCGGCCCGTTCCTCCTCGTGCCATTTGTGTGCTGCGTGTTGCTTGACTCTCATTACAATTGCAAAAGCAGCGAAGGCAAAAGGCCCCCAAGCCAGCGTTCTGCAGGACAAGAATACGCATTTCATTTGCAGCCCCCTCCCCCTCCCCCTCCTCCACCCCAACAGCACAGCCCCGGAGCACACTCTGCCTGGGAGCCACAACTAGCCGAGGAGAACTCAGAAAAGCCATCTAAAAGTTAATTACAATTGCCTCGGCAGTCAGCGCTTCTGCTGCTGCTGCTGCTGCAACTTTAACTGCCGCAACGAGTTCGCATTAAGCCTAAACGAGGCAAAAAAAAAAAAAAGCAAAAGCAGAGAAAAAATAGAAACCAAGAAAGGAAGTCAAAGTTACACTAAACGGGGCAAAAAAAATACTCTGGAAAGGTCTCTCCTGGCACATGTTGCCTGGGAATGGGAATGGTAATTGAAAGGATTTTGTGCGGGTTATGAAGTATATTTAATGGTGAGATTATCTGCTACAAAGTGCAGTGCAAAAACTATCGATATTTGAATTTTATTCGAATTTTGAATTAATCCTAATACTCCGCAAAATACACAGTCCAAGGGCACATAATTCTATGTAATGTCTGTAATTCCCTTCTTTACTGGAGTCAGCTGCTGGCTGTAGGTTCATTATGCCCCGCGGGCCCAGGGTATACGGAGTAAGCAGGCAACCCAAACCCAAACCCAAACCCAAAATGAAGTTCAAGCTGTAAGCAGTGCCCCGGGCGCAGTGGCTGTGCCAGTGGCAGTGTGGCACTGTGGCAATATCTAACTGCTGCAGCTCGGCTGGCTTTGAGCTGCTGCTGGTGGCACGGGGACGTATAAATATTAAAAAGAAAATCTGCTACATGGCTACGTGCAACGCATTTTAACGCAACCAACGCGACCTAAACGACCTCCTAGCCTCAGTGGCAGTGGCAGTGGCAGTAGCAATGCCACTCCTACTCCTATACAGAGCACATAAATAGAGGAAACACACAAACATACAGAAAGAGAGAGAGAGAGAGAGAGAGAGAGGAGTGAGTGAAAAGGATACAACAGGCAAAGTAGGAAAAAGAAGAAAATGAAGTGAAATTTACTTTGACATATTTTTGTGCTTGGCAAAGCAAATACTTTCATTATTTTTGCTGTTGGGCATACAATTTTCTTTGCCTCCTCTCCTCTTCCGTCACTGGCTTTACTGTAATCACACACACACACACACACACAGACACATTTGAGTGGCTCAAAACATTTTGTGGTGCACGCCCACAGTGGCAAATGCTTGAGCAGCCTAAGTGTAATAAGATGCGATGGAGTGGAGTGCAGAGGGTGGCCTGGTAGCCGGGGAATCCCACTTATAGATGACCAAACGTGAACAGCATAAGCGGCATTTGTGGGAGTCCGGGTCCGGGGGGGGGGGGCGTGTCATCTCAGAGCCATGCGGCAATTTGTTTTGCTTAAAGCCAAAAATGGGTGGCTGCCTCTTCATTGAAGCGCTGCCACGCAGATCCTCCTCCACGGACTGATTTCAGATATGACACGAAAAAATTACACAAAAACCAAAAAGCAAAAAAATAATAATAACAAGAATTTTGGGTAGCGGGGGGGAAAAAAAACAAATGGAAATATTGGCGGAAATCTATAAAATGGGGAATACATTTTGCCTTTTTCCAGTGGCTTTTTCTCTACAAATTTTGTATGTATTTTATTTTTATTCAGATATAGCCAAAACTGAACCCTCAAATGCTGAACATTATGAGATATTTTAATTATATTTTTAAAAGAGATTTATTCTCTCTGTTCTTGTCTTTTTGTGCTGCCTATGATAATCCTTAAAATATAAGCAAACTTTTTTAATCCTGCAAAAGATTATAAATATGAAATAAAATATAATTTCCTTCTCTTTTTTCTTTATTTTAATTGCAGAACTCTTAGTGTTGTGCGTCTATGAGGAGAACAGCAAAGTTTTTTGTTTTTTTTTTTTGGGCTCCAACTGCCTGCACCACACCCTCACACGGACACGGACGGGCAGGAGATAGCAGAGCAGGCAGCAGAGCAGGCAGCAGAGCAGGCAGCAGACGGATGTGTGTGTGTGTGTGAGCGGCGGTGAGCGGTGAAGCAGAGTCGAGCCGTTGGTGAGAGAAGAGAAGGAAGTGAAGTGAGGAGGCGAAGCTGCGTGTAGGCAGAAGGTGGCAGCAGCTGAACGCTGGACCTGGACCATGGATTGGACTCGGTGGCAACAGGCCAGAGAAGGAGCTGGCAGTAGCAGCACCAGCAGCAGCAGCAGCAGCAGCAACAGCAAGAGCAACAACACACGGAGTGGCAGCAACGATTGCGATTGTGAGACACGGCACAGCCATCGGCTGTTGCACATTTGATTCGAGTCGAGTCGAGTCGAGGCTTCATCAGTAGGTTCAATCAAATCAATCAGAACAGACAGATCAGTCAATCAGTCAGTCAGTCAGTCAGTCACCCACTCAGTCAGTCAGTCAATCAGTCGTCAGTGTTTGTCACACCCAACATCATCCAACAAACCGCAGAGATTAACTAAAGTAGCAAGCGATTAAGACATGCCACATTAATGTAAATAAAAACGCAGATACTTATTACTAGTCTCATAAAACCGAACGAACGAACAATCAACCAACCAAAAGAGTGAAGTGTATTCCAGTGTATATTTCCAACCAAAAATAACAACAACAACAACAACCACAACGAATCAACGACAGCAGAGGAGCAGAAGAGAAAGTGCCCCCCCAAGAGGTGATAGGGCGGCGCATGCTGCGGGTGGCTCCAGCCACAGTCTGGGGCAGCCAGCCACTAAATACCCAAAAAACGAGACAAATCAGAACCAGAACAACAACAGCATAACGCCCCCAAACACTGCCAATGCCATTGCCATTATCCAGACCAACGTTCGCTCATCATCGTTCGTTTAGATTTGACACAAGTGAGTTTAGATCGAAACCTAACTAATATATTTCATTATCCATACTCTATATACATATACATATATATATTATATATATTTCTATCATTCAATAGATCTGCTAACTATAAGTATGTGAACTGTATATAAATCCTCTCTTATATATAGGAATTAGTTTTCATACATCTACAAATGGGAATACCAAAGGGGCCAAGGGAAGATTAATAGTTAACATTTGCAATTAAATGCAAAAGTTATTAGTTGGCTCTCTCCCTATCAATCTTTATCTATTTGGGAACCCATAGAAATGCGACTTATAATAATAATTATTATGATAATTGTATACACTGTAAATAAATCATCTCTTTAATAACAATTAGCTGTCATACTCGTACATCTACGAGGGCGAAAAATCAGGGACTGCAACTAATGATTGTTTGTTTTTTTATTAGTAAAAAAAAAAAATCATTTAATTAAAGAAACTTTAAGACAGCGATAAATATACCAATATTCATCTAAAATGATAATCTATGCATTTCCACCAAGATTTAAAAATTTTCAAGTTTTATTGACTCAATCACAACATAATGATTCATTTTGAGTTATACTTTATAGCTTAAAAAATAATCATTATTCTTTGCGTAAGGCAAGTGACGAAATTCAATTGATAGCTAAAAGCAATCATCCAGTGATGAAAACATTAATCAAATTATAATTCTATAAAGATGTTTTAAATTTTTGAATATCAGTTAAAAAAGAGTGGCAACCATTTGGTAAATCTTTCAAAAATAAATGCTAATCAAAGGGTGCCGTGTTGATAATTAATAATAATTAATTAAATAATTAATAATACTTAATTAATTAATTAATAATAATACTAATTAATTAATTAATAATAAACTCGAATTCAAGAGTAGCTCAAGTAATTCTTCATTCCAAAGGTTTACTTTATGTGAATGAATTTCTTTACGCCCAGGCCAGGCTTACTTTTCGGTGCCAAAGTAGCAAAAAAAATAAATATACTTTTGCTACATTTAAATGGAATTTCTTGCCGATTAAATATCCTCATATTCTATAGTCCTTGCTGCTACTTAGCACGTCACAGATTCGATCTGGGTGTGAGCTTGGGTGTCAGCATCAATCGAACTGTCAGAGATCTGCAATTGCGTGAATTGCTGCCATTTGAGGCAGTCACGACGGAAGGGGGGGACGCAAAGTGGCTCTCATTAAATCACTTAAACGACGGCACCCGAAACGAGGCGACCCCACACGACCCGACAGCGTACACATACACATTAGCATTGGCCCGTTAGGCAATGAGCGGGCTGGGCCGGGCCGGGCCGGGCCGGGCCAGGCCAGTTGTCGCCACCTTAACCGGACAACGACCACCACGATATTCGCATACCGATTCGATCCATCAATTAGTTGTGCACTAATTGCGACTAGCAGACCAGACCCCAAACCCAACCCAACCCAACCCAACCCAACCTACACCCTGTACCCACCCTCAGGCGGCACCTTAGTTTTCCCCATACGATATTCGCTGTAGATGGTAGCGGAGAGGCGTCGCGACGCAAGGGGCAAGCCACTCCCTCGTGTCCACTCTCAATCACAATCACAATTGCAATCTGCAATCTGACAAATCAAATCTTGTATGCAAAACAGTAACGGCAACGGCAGCAGCAACGGCAGGAGCAACGGCAGCAGCGGAGGGGAACAACCAGAGAGCCACGAAGCCGAGTCAGGCGCCAAGCAATTTGTACAAACATTTGCGCAAACAAAACGCAAGCGTGTGAGCAACGAAGAAGGAGGAGAGCTGCCAACCTCCCCGCCCCACCTCCTGCACTTGCAGTGGTAGGTCGCGTGACCCGCGAGTTTTGCACAATAAACAACGTAATTGCTCATAACGCAGCACGGGCAAGGAGCCGGAGCAGGAGCAGGAGCAGGAGCAGGAGCTGGAGCTGGAGTCCAGGGAGTTGGGAGAGAGTGACGATAACTAACCGTTTATAGCAATTATACGACCGACCAGCAGCAGCAGCGGCAGCAGCAGCAGCAGCTGAAGCGGGGCAACGCCCCCTCCCGAGAAGTGATTTGTAGTGCGTGTGTTGTAACGGGTAAGGGCAGGTGGCACGAAACAATTAGACCCTCCACCACAACCCCCAACCAGCCACCGGGCGGAAATTCACCCGGAAGTGTAGCCAAACCCCCAACCCCACCCACTCCCACGCCCACGCCCGGCTAGATGTATAAACCGGACACCCTTACGCGCCGCGGCAGTCTGAGATCCCTGCGCAGCGCCCCCCTACTGAGCACGGTGCTGGAGAGCACACTCTCGCTGACCCGCATCCATCCGATCGCATCGCTGGAACTGCCCGGCCTCGACTATGCCATCCACTCGCAATCGGCACTGGGCGGTCTTGGCCATCATCGCGAATTAGGCACCTCACTGCGCAGTGGCATTGCAGCAATCACAGCGGCCAGCGCCTCAGCAGCCGGCGGCCTATCGCAGTCGCAGAGCGCCCTCTTGGGGCGATACGGCGCAAACGCCTCCATACGCCACAACGAGCGAAAGATTGTCCAACCGAAACGGTAGGTGCGATACCCAAACTACTTACTCACCAATCCACCACCACCATCCCGGTAGTGTCTTAGAATGGGGGCTGCAGATCACAATTAAATCTGGTAAGAATTCCACTCATTCAACTATTTTAAGTGCCTGCTGGCAGCTCCTCATATATGTATGTCGGAGAACAATTAATTATAGGGGATTGTTCTTTGAATTGCGCGCGCATAGTGTGACCAGTCTGTGTTTGATCGCATTATCAACCCTGTGTGAGCGAGAGCGAGTTCATGCGAGCGAGTGTGGTTCTCGCTACGCTCAATGACAGAGAATAATCAGCTAATAAATAATAATTCTCATACATATGGACACTCAACTGATGCCAAATAAAATCCATTTAGCAGCTCTCCATTACCAGCAACTTTGACAGCTGTCAACGGGGTTGCTAGCATTAAAAATGTCTCCGAATTGCGGGCACCAATCTTAGTGGCAGCCTCATGCAAATGCCATTTATTTGGCGATTATTTAAATACAATTATTACAATTATTACCAGTCGCGATCGGTTATGACGCGCTTCAGATTGCCATCCCAGGGCAGATTGTCGAGGCCTGCCTGGTCGGCTATCATGCCCTTGACGCGATGGGCAAAGTTCACGGGCGACTCGTTGGGCAGACGGGCCACTGGCGGCAGATACCAAATGTCACAGCTGAGGCACCAGGCGGTGACCAGCATCAGCATGTAGCGGAACATCGAGTAGCGGGTGCTGTCCCAGTAGGCCTCGCCGTAGCGGCGGCCGTAGCGTATGGCAATCGGGTAGACGATGTCGCTGACGGAGAAGCTGCCCTTCCTGAATTGCATTACGGCGCTGTTGTTGATGCACGTGCCCTCGGGGAACAGCAGAATGGGCGGTTTGTCCGGGCACTGCACATGCTTGCGCAGTGCCTCGCCGAGAGCCTCACGTTCCTCGGGCTCCCGGCGGTCGAACCACATGTGCGGCGAGACGCGCGACAACGAGCGCTGGAATACACCGAGAATGCCGTCGTGCCGCTGGCCGGTCAGCGAGTAGTGCACATCGCACGAGAGGATGAGCACGTCCAGTGGATTGGTGTGGTTGCACACGCAGATGCCCTTGGTGGGGCGATTCTCGGGATTGTGGTAGCGACGCAGTATCGGCACAAAGTTTGCGGTCATGTTGAGGCACTGGCGCAGCAGCCACCTGGACGCGCGGCGATTGCACGGCAATTTGCACAGCACACCAATCACGGCGGTGGTCGTTGGCACCACCAGCAGGCAGCTCAGACAGGTCACCGTACGCAGCGGCATCAGCAGTACGTAGCGAAAGAGCAGTGCCAGCAGCCAGACCAGTTTCAGGCGCAAGCTGAGCATCCCCAATGGCACGTTCAGGTCACGGGTGAGCAGATTCCACTTGCCCGGCGGCAGGGGGGCCGACACAAATCGCGGGGCCACTTCGTCCTCCATTACCAGGCCCATGCCCTCGGCTATCATGTCGCAGCACATCTGCATCTGCTCGCACAGAACACCCCTCACCGGTCGCAGCAACTGTTTTTTGTTTCTCTTGCGTTTGTTCTGCTTCGACTTCTGCTGGCCCTTAGCCTTTGGGTTCCGTTTCCAGTCCTTGCCCAACTTCTGCAGTTCCTTGCGCTCATTGGCCAGTATCTCCTCGGTCAGATAGCGCGAAGTCCAGATGAAGATGCGATCCAGCAGGCCCAGGTAAAATGCTTGAAATGCGACCAGGCCGTAGCTGAAGATCAGGCCAAAGCACAACAGTAGCAGCCACATGGTAGAATTCTGAAAAACGTTTGAAATGAAAACTGAATGAGTTACGAATGAGTTACGACAGCACAGCTAAATGTCAGCTTTGTGTTTTCACAGCTGAGTCACAGCCAGTGTGGCCATGCCTTGTGTCGTTTCAGTGTTGGAAAACACACACTCAATCGACTACAGCAGTATTGGAAAGTGTTGCATTTTAATTTTTAAGTGTTCGCATGGCGATGAAGCTTGAAAGGACAAATCTCTTTATTTATTCGCTGCCATCCCCCGCCCATCCACAAAGAAAAGCATTTGCGCCCACAAATTTCCCAATTAAATTCCCTAATTCAATTTGGCGTCGACTTTTTTTGTGCTTTTTGCTTCGCTCTTGCCCCCCTGCCCCACAGTTATTGCTGTCCCCATGCTGCGCCTTCTTTGTTAAGCGCCCCAAAAGACTTTTGATTTATTTAGCCAAAAGCAAGTAAAAAAAAAAATGAAAGCAAAAAAAAAAAAACAAGAAAAGGGAGCAGAAGGCAAAGCAGAAAAAGAGAAGAAAACTTTGCCGTCGTCTTCGTCGTGTACTCCTTTGGCTGGGGTTCGGTTTGGGCTCTTTTTTTGTTTGTTTTTTCATATGGCAATAATTCAATTATGCCATAACAAGGCCGCAAAATGTTTGCTGCAGGCTCTAACCCCCCAGCCCACCCCACAAAAGCCGCTGGACTGGGCTGGGCTGGGAGTTCTCGGGCATTCTCTGACCCAAAATCACTTAAAAACCACAAAAACTTCTGGCTTTGTTAATTCGTTAATTAAATGGGCCTGGCTGCCTGCCTGCGTGCCTACCCCCCGATGACAGCTTGTAAACAGAAGAGCTTGGGAAAAAAATAAAAAAATAACTTTAAGGATTACGCAATGAACGATGATGATGAGAGTCGCCAGAGGGGCGGGTGGGCAGCCAGCCCTTAAGCTGCCTTTCCTTCCATTGATTACATTGGGTGGCAACAATCTTTGCTTATCAAATGCAAACAACTGTCAGACAGGCAGACAGGCACCATCGAACGATGAGCGGGAATGGCAAGGGCAACGGCAACGGCAACGGCAACGGCAACGACGACAACGACAACGGCAACGACAACTCATTTAGGCTCAGGCCCAGGCCCCTTAATTAGCATAGAATGTGTTCTAAAAAGCCACTTGAGCTAAACATTCAAAACACCTACAGGGTGCGCCGCCCCGCACCACACCGCATCCCATCCGCATTTACCTGACTCCCACTGCCATCGCCGACCCATCAACGACTTTTCCACTTGCCAGCGACAACGACCTTAGGCGCTTGCGGCTGAGTCTGCGGAGACGCCTCCGTCTGCGCCTCCGCCTCTGCCTTGCTCTGTCTCTGCCACTGCCTCTGTCTGTGTGTCTGTCTGTGTGGCACAGTTGGGCAAGTCAGAAACCGGACAGATTTAGATACTCTAACGCTTGGCAAAGGCATTAGGGCAGTGCCATTATCCATCAAGCTGCGTTGCAACACTTTCTGGCTGGGTTTCTGCAGCTGCAAGTGCACAGAGAGTTCTCGTTGGAATTTGTGATATTTCAGAGTGCCAAAAGGGCACACTGTAGACGTGAAAAAAACATCTGCAACATATGCAAGGCAGAGTCATGCATATAGCATGCAGAGTGTAGTGTATAGCTCGTATCGGTGTCGGTGTTGGTGTCCGTGTCTTTGCCGCTGTTGTTGTTGCTAAAATCTCCACGGTGTCGGCGGCAGCACGTGACGCTCGAGTGTTGGGATAAGCATTTCCGCTCTTCAGACGTAACACGAAAAAAGCGCCCTAGTGACAAAGCGCCTGTCGCTGGTGGCAGGGGGGGTGGTAGGTAAATGAGGAAGCACAAAATGAAATTGTGACGCTGGCCCCCACGCCCCCACGTGACTACGGGTACTACGCCCACCTGCCATTCAAAAGTAATTTAGCGTTTAAAAAACATTTTTCTGCCTGTCTTTTAAAAAAGTTGCGCGTAATGCGAGTTGCGTGTGTATAGAGAGGGGGCAGAATGGTTGTATCTGCATCAGTGTGTGTGTGTGTGTGCACCAACACTCACCTGGTTGACGCTGACACGTTCCGTAGTCGATGTCGATGTCGTTGTCGTTGTCGTTGTCGCTGTCGTCGTCTGTCTGATCCGCCTGATTGTATTATGGCCCGCCGCACACCCTGCACAGACTCGCTTCCAGAAATCGCTTCCAGCTACCGGCAACTTTTGTTTATTGACTCTGACGTTTCACCGACGACTGGCTACGTGCGCGGGTTAGCACAAGTGACTCACCACTCCGCTCCTACTGCCTCCTGTCGGACTGGTGCAGCTCGTTGATGGTGTTGTCTACTGTTGGGCAGCTAGCACTGTGGTTCAGCAGAATCGCGCTCAAATTGGAGTTTTATTTGTGCAAAGAAAATCAAGAAAACTCGATGCTGGGTTAAGTTAAAACAACACGAAAAGTAGAATGAAATTACTAGTGAAATTTGCGACGGAATGTCAGACAATGCCTGGCTGACTAAGCGCAAAATAAAGTGTTGGCAAATGCCTGGCTGACTAGGCGCAAAATAAAGTGTTGGGAAACAATCGACAAACATAATCGGTTCAGTGGGAACAGCGGCACGAAACGTAAATTCATTCTACTATTTATTTCTGGTAAATTGAAGTTGGAATACAATTTGGTTTTTATTATTTATTTGAGCCAAAAAAAAGCGCAGTTTTCCTTACTCTTCCATAATAAAATATTAAAAAGAAATCTTCCTTCGATATGCATATGCCAGAGATAAATCCCCTTTTTAGACAATCTCTTAAGCGAAGACATTAGCAGCATTTTGTCGGGGTAATTATTTGCATACGTTTTTTTTTTTTGGGTACAGCAGCAACAACAAAGAGAAACGTATAATTTCCTTGTGATTTTTATCCCTTTTCGGTCGCCCACTCCCTGCCAAGTTAATTAAAAAAGTGTTTCCATTTGGCTTTGACCCTCAGCGGGCAGTGGACTCAAATGATGCTGCGACATAAATCCCTTTGACACTCGATGGCTCCGATCCCGGAGAGCGCACCCAAACCCGCCCAACCCCAGCCGCTCGTAATTGGTTTATGCCATTTACTTGGCTTGTTTACCCACAGCCAACATTTGCATAATGGGAATGAACCAGAAACAGAAACAGAAACAGAGACGAGCACCAGCACCAGCACCAGGACCAAGACCAGGACGAGTACCAGGACGAGTACTAACCAGAACCGGGGAATCAAAAACAAGAAATGTGATTTATAATTTTTTTACTTTTTGTTTCTTGCTTGCGGAGCATTTTAATTAGCCTGAGACCCAGGATCCAGGGCCCCGGAAATGAGATCAGTGCTGGCTGGGGCTGTGGCAGGGGCAGGGGCAGAGCGTCGACCCATTGCCTAATTATGTGCGGGGCTGGTGGGCTGGGCTGGGGTGGGCTGGACAATGGCTGGGGGGGGATGCTGCTGGTGGTTTCTCGCTGTTTTTGGTGTCATCAAGTCATTATTTAATATAAGTCCGCTTTGATAAATTATTTCCTGTTTTGATGGACGCTACGTGACGAAAGTTGTCAGACCAAGGAAGTGCCCTACCCTACCGTCGGAGAAGGGAGGGCAGTGGTGGCATAGGAGGCAGCGAGGGGAGGCAGTGCAAAACGTTTTTGATTTGCGGCCACGTTAAGGAGTTTACCATCCATCCATTCATTCATCCGGCAGCAGCCATTCATCCCATTCGCCCCTTCGCTGTGCCATTTTACTTTATAGGTTTGTTCTCGTTGTGCGTTTATTTGCGGCAATTAATCAATTTGGCCAGCGCGGTTTTTGTTGAATAAGTGATAAAGATTTATCACTTATGCCCGGACCAAACCCAGACCCAGACCCAGCTCCACAGTCCTTAGTCCACTTCTAAGGACCCCTCTTAAAGCGCATTAAAGTCTACAAAGAGAGGCAGAGAGGCAGAGAGAGAGAGAGTTGAAAGCCGAGTGCCGACGGAGCACTCAACGTTCATTGAACCAAACATTTTGACTTTTGCGTCTGAACGCACATGAAAAGCTCTTGGAAAATGCACGAATTGAGTGTGCCAGAGCAGGGCGGGGCAGGCAGGGTGGATGCTAGTTGTATGGGCCATGGGGCCATGGGGCCATCGGTATTTATTTTTTGACTAAGAACCGACAAAACTGCTGTCGTACTTGTAATAAGCAAAAGTTCACCCATCGAATGCGGAAATGCACTCAGATCTGACGCTAAAAAATAAATTTAAATCGTGTAAATGGAACCAACTGAGAGTGGGAACATGGAACATAAGATTTAGATTTTATTTATGTAAAAAAAACGATGGAATCGGAACAATATTCTAGGCTGCCAAAAGCTGATAAATTACATCTCCCACTTCTGGTCCATTTTATAGCTAAAACAGCGGAATGGAACGCGCTTTGCAACACTGAAATGGAACCCTTGTCTTGACTAATTCTATAGCTTGTGCTGGGCTATACTTTTTGGGCCAAAAGTCCAGCGACTCGCGCACAGTGTGAAGAGCATTCAAAGCTACAAGCGCTGAAATGTTTCAACATAAATCTTTAAAGAATGTTAACGCCAGCAGCACAGGATATACGAGCGAGCAGTGCTGCCCTGTCCGCCCGCCCACTCTCTGTTCTGGCTGAATTTTTCGACCTTTTCTCCTCTCCACCCAGCCCAACGCCGCCCACTCACCCACTCACCCATTCGCCCAAGCTGCAGCATGATGCAGCAGTGGGAAACCCGAGGGTCAATGCACCCGCCCCAGGGGCTGGCTGTACGATTGGGTGGAGGATGGAGATGCAGCCAGTCAGACGATTCGCCGTTTGCTGTTCGCCGATGTTTACGTTTTGAGCCGCGGCATTTTTGGGGCTTGTCAACGCGCCATCCTGGAGGAGGTGCTGCCAACTTATTACTGAACATTTCTGTGACCCTCCACCACCGAAAAACTGAAGCCTGAACATTTTCTTAGGTGCAAAAAGTTGCACTTTGCTGTTGCTGGAGTAGCAGCACCCACACCCCACACCCTTTACTCGCATCCGATGGGTGGGATGGCGTGGCAGGCAGGCTGATGCAGCAGTCGATGGGCGGAGTGTGTTCCAGTGGCTGGCTGGCTGGTTGGCTGGTTGTCTGGGCATGGTGGACTCCCATCGGTTGGTTTGTTGCCGTGTTAAGTGAAGTGTAGGCGCAAAGGCGAAACACGCGAAACTTGTCGGTGCAATGTAATAAATTTCGAAAAACGTCCAAGCCCTGGGCTATAACGAATGGCTTGCCCAATGCACATGGACAGCAGCAGAGCAGCACCCCCAGCACCCCACAAGCCACTCCATGCCACTCCGCCATCGCCTGCCTTGTTAGGCCGCTGCAATAAGTCTTTTATGGCTTAGAGTTGGATGGTTGGATGGTTTCTCCCCTCGACCTGGAGCTGCAAAAACTTTTATCATTAAAGTTGAAAGGTAAAATTCGACCATAAAAAAGCACAGCAACAACAGCAGCAACAAAAACAATATGCAACGAAAACCAAAAACTTGAGAGAACGTGACTCACGAAATCCGCGCTCACGTGACTCAGTCAATAAAGTGGGCGGAAGTTTTTTACAAGAAATTATTCGCAGTGTCCATTTATGCCCCCTCCTCCCCATTGGGGTAACTTTTCTTTGCATATGTCCTGTACTATTCGCTGCAGCTAAGCAAAATCTTAACGAGTTTTGTGCCGGAATTTGGTTTTCTTAAGGCAGAGCAAAGTGCGCCCGAATTCAGTGCTTTTCGTAGCTGATTCTATTTTAATTTTTGGCACACTTGCATAGCACTTTTAATCGTATAATTCAGCCACTCAATGCCCCCAATCTGCCACCATCTAAAATCTCTCCCGTGGCGCTTTAAATCCTTTTTTATTAATCACCCAAAATTCAAATCGTGGCCCACACTCAACCAGCAATTTTAATCGATCGCACTTGTTCACCAATTGAATGTGAATGCACTCAAATCTAAGCACCTCTTCGCTGTAAAACATTCAGGTAACTGAACTCTCGTTTATCCTTCACACTGCACCCTGCACCCTGCACTCCCCACCTCCCCTCAACATCCCCACCATTCCACCCACTTTATTTCATTTCATTTCCTGCCATTTGCAATTTTCCATTTCGGCTGAGCTTCAACTGCACATTTATTGATTTTGAATGCAATATTTTTGGCTTGAGGGATTGGCGGGGGTGGCCAGGGGGGTCGCAATGGGCTCGGAATGGGGTCGGAAGGGGGGTTTTTGTGTGTTTAGTGTGCTGGTTTTTTCTTGCACCACCCCAACTATTTGTTTGGTTTTTGGGCAATTTGTTAATTGTATTTGATATGCAAGCGTTGCATGCACTGAAAATTGTATTAGCTCTGCTCTCCCCAAATGCAAATATTCGTACCAAGGGGCGTGCCGGGGCTGGGGGGGGCGAAGGAATAGGGGAATGAAATCAGCGTAACAAATAAATTGAAACATAAATGGAAATGAACTTAAATATGCATGGCATGTAAATACAGGAAGTCAATGCCTTCAAGGGTCCCTTCTCCCAGCGGTGAGACTCCCTTCCCTTCCCTTTATTATATTAAATATTTTTGCATACTTCTCAGCCTTGAGCCAATTTGTCCCTTGCACTCCTTGTATTGATTTCCCCCCTCCCCATAATCTTTTTCTATTGTTATCATTAAATGGGAATCCGCTTTGGGGAAAAAACTGAAACTGAAATCTTTCCAGGGCATATCTCTGGCAGTGCCTCAATTAGCTTGACAGTCTGTGGGACCAGCTTAAAGCTTGGATTTCCCTTTGCTCTCACATCTTTCACATCGAAGCTCTCTTTGTGTGAGCTGCTTCTGCATCCCCCTCCCCTGGCTATGCAAATTCAAATTTCTCGTCAAAATATTACTTGCAAAGTAAACGCGTGTAACTCGGCACCGACTACAGCAGGCTACACCAGTTGGAGCAGGGAATCCCGGAAAGGCGAAAGGAAAACCAAACAAAAGCACACAGAAAAGTTGAGCAGAGCATAGAAGAAAGGGAACCCTGCAGAATACAACAAAAAATAGACGATGACATGAAACTTCAGCCACAAAGATCGAATTTCTGGATACACTCTGGCAGATACAAATCTCAGCTACTCGTTGACTTTTCGATGAATTTAAAATTAGTTTGATTCCAAGTGTTTGTCTGTCTGTTGATGCTTTATTTCTGGCATCTTTAGTTTAACTATAATTAATTATTTGTTCTGAAAGCAGTTCCAAATTCAAAGATTTATCCCAGCTGTGCGATATGTTCCTTCGATCATGTGCTTGGCAAAAATCTGGCTACCCTCTGTGAGTGCAGCAAAATATACATGCGAGTACAACTGCAAATATTTTCTTATGCTTCTTGTATGAAATGCAAGCATGTAAATACCAGTGCCCACACACACACACACAAATGCACACACACCAGTTAGACACTGATACACGGACTGACATGCATAACTTTGCC